CCGTTCAAAATCTAGAATTTTCAGATTTGAACTTCAAGCTCAAAACCAAGTTTCAATGTACAAATTTCGATCCTCTTGGGCTAATTTTCTGGAAAACACTTCAAAACCCATAATATTACTTGTTTCAAGGATCAATTTAGGAAATCAAAGCCCAAGGGTAGTTCAATTAAATCCAATTTCAAACCAATTTCATGAACAAAGCTCAAACATGACATGCATGAGTTTAAACCAATTCGAAGCTTCAATTACATGCTCTAATGAGCCAATTTCTTCTAAAACATGGTACAATCATGAACTATGATCAAAAGATGAACATGCATGAAGCAATCTCATGAACAATAACTTCAAAACTCAAGAATGGCAACATGCATGCATGAATTAAGCTACAATACAACATTATAAGGCTCAATCTAGACTTAGATCACTAAGGACACAAGAACCATGCATGAATCAATTCAAAAACAAGTTGAAGAAGGTGGATGCTCTACCTTAAGTCTTGAATTAAAGGTTTAGGAGCTCAATTTTGCAATACTCTCTTCAATTCCTTCAATTTCCAAGCAAAGCCAGATGAAAACCAACTCTCTTAGTTCTCTCTCTCTCTATGGTCGGTTGTGCTTAGAAATGAGCTGATGAAATGTGTATGAATGAGTGTAGTAAGGCTCAAATATGGTCTAAGGTAGTGGCCCACTCACAATGGCATTTTGGTAGATAAAACCAACTTATGTGTTTTACATTATCTAATCTAATTTAATCACACTAAATCACATTTTGGATAAACATGCCATAAATTCACATAAATTCTAATGATCATAAAACACTAATCGATTTCGGGTTCGGCCGTCGATAGGGCCTTCAATTTGCAGTTTAAAGCATAAAACATAAACAGATAGTTTAACAGTCAACAGATAGATATGCATTCAAACTAGTACAATCAATCAATCAGTTTAGTGATTTCAGTTAATTCAGTCAATTATCATAATCAGTCTCAGTTTAACAGTTCTGTGCGTCGATTTGAAATGCGTGCTACCTCCTGTTGAATTTCTGACCAATTTGGGTTACATGTGAATGTGACAAAAAGGTCAGGAAATCCCATCTTTCGACATATTGCGATCGCATCCTGGTAATGCTGAATCATATTTCGTAGGCCACCTGTAAAAGATGATGGAAGTATAAATCTCCTACTAATGGCTGATGCATCACTGCCATCCGCAGTCATAGAATCTTCTAAACCTCTATACAAATCAGTCCGCAACACATTCTGTTTATGCCTGATGAAGTTTAGTCTATCTTGCTCAATAACTGCATAACAATCAACAACAAATTGTTAGAACAAACGCCCCCCTTGCAGTAGCGTTTTCCCTTCTCCAACTCGAAATTGAAGTCTAAATGCATAAAACTCTCTCATTGACACTCCTTCTCGTTTGTTGTTTGTACCCAGAGTAAAACTTATAGACCTTCTCCATCCATCAGTCCCATAGGGAAAAAGTAATGGATATTGAAGTGGCATGTATGAAGGATGTGTTTCATTAATCCTTTGTAAATGTCCATCTAATTTTCTAACAATTATGTCACGATTTGTAGTGCTTTCAGACCCATCACCAACAATTAATGCAGCAATTTCAGTTGTAGTGGGTCTAGTGTACTGTCTTCCATTCCTCGAACTCAAAATGCGAATATGCAATTCCTGAGCACCATTTTCACGAATCATGTCTCGAGCAGTGCGAAAAATTGATACATATGGATTGATGACATTCAACATTGACTGTAAACCTTCTAATGTGGACATATCAATTCTCGATGTGCCACCACACCTATTCATAACATCCATTCTATTGCGAATTTCATGCTCAATGCCATAAATATAAAGTTGTGCAAATTTAGGCCTTGTTCCAGGTTTCGAACCAATTTTATGAAAATTTGCTCCACTAATACGAAAAACATAAGGACCCCTTCCATTTAACACCGACTGACCAATTTTCCCACCCATGGACGTGAAGAATAATAGAGAGTTATATATCCTTATGTGTTCTTTAAATCTCACATGAGTAAACTGTTGTTGTAAAAATTCAGGAGTTTCTGGCAATAAAGGCAACATCACTTGTCCACTTTGACAACATAGACTAAATTTTGGTCGACCCCATGGACTATCTCTTACTTTTTCTTCTATCCACATCATTGCTTGACATCTAGAGCATGTTACTGTTCTCCCACCAAAGTTTGAGCGGTCTGAAATTTTTCTCCTTCTAGAACGTGTGGTAAATGTACTACCTGAAATTATTTAGATTTAGATTATAATTATGAATTTCTATTCAGAGACTAAATTTTGGTCGACTCAATGGACTATCTCTTACTTTTTCCTCTATCCACATCATTGCTTGACATGTAGAGCATGTTACTGTTCTCCCACCAAAGTTTGAGTGGTCTAAAATATTTCTCCTTCTAGAACGTGTGGTAAATGTACTACCTGAAATTATTTAGATTTAGATTATAATTATGAATTTCTACTGTTTGTAAGAAATTTGTATAGAGTAGATAGTTGGCTAAATGTTTATTACCAGGTAGATGTGCTCTATTTGAAGTTAGTGGTAAAATATTGGGAGCTCGCATTTCTGATTCATTTGTGTCTAATTCATTAGATATAAGAATTTGAATTCCAACGTAACATCAGAAGCATTGTCATTATTGCAACTGCATGTTTGTCTGTAAGCACCACGTTGCATTCTTTTGAGTCTCAAGACTGTGATCCTCAAATGTCGATTCTCCTTTTCTATTTTCCGAAGGCGACCCTTTAATGTAGGATCATTACAATCATATCATGTTAAAAGTAATCTTCTTCTTGCCACCAGTTGTGCCAACTTAGAGGAAAGATATTTTCGATATCGATTTTCATATTCTTTATCAACACCTAATATATAATATAAGATCATATTATTATTTTTGTGATTCTTAAAAGATTATTGAAAATGTGAATGTCTCATTAATAAGATTGTAAGAAAATTTGAAATGTAACATTATTGTGTAGAAGTCAATAGATTACCACTATGACGGGCACTACTTCGTAATCTTTTTAAATGCAAAACGATGGTTCTCAAACGTCGAGCCTCCTTTTCTATATTGAGAAGGCGAATCTTCAAGGTTGGATCATTACGATCAGAATGTCGTGTCAAAAGAAGTCTTCTTTTGGCTACCAATCGAGCCATCTTGGACTTAAGTCGTGTTTGATTAATTTATCGATTAAAAATCATATCCATCCTGAATAGAGTATTAAGTTGAAGCTTATATAACTCATGCTATTAGTTTATAGTATAGATAATGACTTAAGGATGTGTAACATAATGACTTTCATATAAAAAACATGATAATCTATAATTGTTTGTAGTTAATTTTGCACATTGAAATGATTAACTCCTACATGATAACATCTACTGTAGAATCCATATAAATAGAATGTATCAAAGATCTAAAATCATGCAGGTTATATATTTATTATATATGTAGATATGATAGTCAGTAATTGTTTCTAGTCATATTAAAATCTGCTAAAAAAACCCACAAGCATGGTAGTCTATAATTGTTTGTAGTTAATTTTACACACTGAAATGATTAACTCCTACATGATAACATCTACTGTAGAATCCATATAAATAGAATATATCAAAGATCTATAATTTTGTAATTCAACCTGGAATGGTCAAAATTGGTTAACCAATTGTGTGATTTTTTTTGGAATTGTTACCTAGTGTGCCTTGTCTATTCTTCAATAGAAATTCAAACTGGAATACAAAAGATAAAGAATACAAAATCTCAATATCAGTACCGTTATTTGTTGTTAAGTACGTAAAAAAAAAAAAAAATCTATTATTAACACATGGATCTACTAAGGAGCTAATGTAATTTTTGTAAAGAAATTTATAATACAATAGTTTTTAGTAAGCAAAGATAACGTAATCAAATTATTGTTATACATGGAAAACAAAAACACAAAGGAAAAGAGGATTTATTTTGATTTATGTTAGATTTTTTTTTGAATTTTGTAAATTACCAAAAATAACACCAAAGCGGTGTCTTTTTTTGTGGATGGTAGGAATAAAAAGTTGTGGTTTTTATTTTTTATTTTTTTAAAATAACGTGATAATCTAAGATGGTTAGATTTTTATTGTAGGAATAAAAATTGTGTATTTTTTTATTAATTTATTAATTGAGAGTGAGATTTATTTAATTGATTTAAGTTATAGATATTTACTAAATTTTATGTGATAGACAGTCTGATTCAATGAATTGTGAGTGTTGGATATGCATGAGTAAATTATAGGAATTAAAAATTGGGGGTTTTTTTTTTTAAAAAAAAAATAACGTGATAATCTAAGATGGTAGAATTTTCAAAAAAAAAAATAACGTTGATAATCTAAGATGGTAGAATTTTCATTTGAAAACATAATTATTTCCGATTTTCAAACCAAGTATGTACATATATATTTTGGATTTTGTAAAACAAAATAAAACATATGAAAGATTAAATTTTGATTGGAACACTCATAGTACCATCCACAGTAGCACCCTTATAAACCATTTCAATTACCATATCTCAAAGTAAGACATGTTAAAAAAAAAAAAAAAAAAAGGAACAATACTAACAACCAAAAGAATTTATATGAAACAATTTAAATTACAATCTGTCAAAAATCAAATGTATATGAACACTATTAATTTCTAATGCAAATCAAACCCATACTTTTTCCAATAAATACAAAAATGTGTCTTTGTGAAAGTGTATTCAAGGACAAATAAATCTGAATTACCATTTCACTCACCTTTATGTAATGAAAAAAATTGAAATATAGATATATATATATCTAATTTAACCCATTATATCGAAATCAACGGACCTAAAAGAAAACACAAAATAAATGAGTTTACTTTTTCACTACTCAATTGTAAAACACTGATTTACGAAGGGTCAATTGAAAGGTTCCACATCAACATTTTATTGAATTTTTATAAAAGTTTTACATCCATTACCATTACACTCACCTTTATGTGATCACTCCTCTCTTCCTCTTTCACACATTAATCTCTATCTTTCAAAATCTGCAAGTGGCTTTTCAAAATCTGCATTCGGTAACAAAAAGAATAAAATTGTGTATTTTTTTTTATTAATTATTTAATTGAGAGTGGGATTTCAATTTATTGATTTAAGTTATAGATATTACTAAATTTCATGTGATAGACGTCTGATTCAATAAATTGTGGGTGTTAGATATGCATGAGTAAATTGTAGGAAATAACAATTGTGGGTTTTTTTAAAAAAAAAAAAAATAACGTGATAATCTAGTGGTAGAATTTTCATTTCAAAACATAATATTTCCGATTTGTCAAACCAAGTATGCACATATATGTTTTAGATTTTGTAAACAAATAAAACATGAAAGACTAAATTTTGATTGGAACACTCATTGTACCAATCCACAGTAGCACCGTTATGAACCAATCGCATACCATATCTCCAAAGTAAGACATGTAAAAAAAAAAAAAAAAAAAAAAACAATACTACAACCAAAAGAATTTATATGAACACAATTTAAATTACAACCTACCAAAATTAAATGTATATGAACACTATTTAAATTCCTAATGCAAATCAAACCCATACTTTTCTCAATAAATACAAAAATGTGTCTTTGTGCAAGTGTATTCAAGGACAAATAAATCTGATTACCATACACACACCTTTATGTATGAAAAAAAATTGAAATATAAGATATATATAATATCTAATTTAACCATATTATATCGAAAATCAAATGGGCCTAAAAGAACACAAAAATAAATGAGTTTAACTTTTCACTACTCAATTGTAAAACACTGATTTACGAAGAGCCAATTGAAAGGTTCCACATCAACATTTTATTGAATTTTATAAAGTTTTACATCCATTACCATACACTCACCTTTATGTGATCACTCCTCTCTTCCTCCTTCACACATTCATCTCTATCTTTCAAAATCTGCAGTGGCTTTTCAAAATCTGCATTCGGTAACAAAAGAAAAACAAAAACAAAAACAGAGACATCTTCAATGGGAGATGAGGGAGGTTTTTAATATTTTTTGCATATTTTCAAAATTTGCAGTGGCTTTTCAAAATCTGCAAAAATTGAAATATAAGATATATATATATCTAATTTAACCATTATATCGAAAATCAAATGGGCCTAAAAGAAAACACAAAAAATAAATGAGCTTAACTTTTTCAGGACTCAATTGTAAAACACTGATTTTCGAGAGCCAATTGAAAGGTTCCACATCAACATTTTATTGAATTTTATAAAAGTTTTTACATCCATTACCATACACTCACCTTTATGTGATCACTTCTTCTCTTTCTCCTTCACACATTCATCTCTATCTTTCAAAATCTGCAGTGGCTTTCAAAATCTGCATTTGGTAACAAAAGAAAAACTAAAACAAAAACAGAGACATCTTCAATGGAGATGAGGGAGGTTTTAAATATTTTGCAATATTTTTAAAATCTGCAGTGGCTTTTCAAAATCTGCATTCAGTAACAAAAAAAAACTAAAACAAAAAAAAAAAAAAACAGAGACATCTTCAATGGAGATGAGGGAAGGAGAAGATTGGGTTATATATATATAAATTATTAGAGCAAAACAAAAAGAAAAAACAAAACAGAGACATGGAGATTACAATACCGAGACTTGCATTCGATGGCCTACTGTGGATTGCTGCCGTTCACTGTTGATGAAGCAAGTTGATGTAGTGGATTGTTAGAAGTAATGGTTTGAGGGACTGAAAGTGTTTGAGGGTATGAGAGATTTGTAATGGTGTTTGAGGGTAGGAGAGATTTGTTTGAGGTGGGAGAGTAACAGATTTGTTTGGATAAGTTTTGTTTTTTTTTTTTTGTTGACAGCTTGATTTGTTTGACGTGGGGAGAGTGAGAGTAACAGATTTTGTTTGGATTTTAGTTTTTTATGGATAAGTGTTGGAATAGGAGTTGTAGATAGTGGGAGAGTGGGAAGGTGGAAGAATAGGAGTTTTGATTGTTATGAAGTCTTTGGGAGGGAAGGAAAAGAGTTATAAAGTCAGAAAAGACTTGCCACGTATTTTTTCAGATTTATGAGAATTTTAGAATGGCATTTTCAAGCCTTGTAAAACACAGCACTACATTCTATTATATATATAGTATAGATTTATGTCATACGACTTATGAGTCCAAGTTTCTTTCATTTTCCCTTTTCAACGGATAGGCATATAAGCACTAACCACATTATCAACAGATATGTATAACAACAATATCCACATTCTCAGATAAGCAAATAATGTGTATCCACATTCTACAACAGATATGTATAACTACAATATCCACAGATAAGCATATAAGCTATATCCACACATCACAAAGATAAGCATATAAGCTCTTATCTTCACTTCTCTAGACAAGCATATGAGCTGTATCTACGGAGTTCATCCCCTATCTTCTCCCAACACTATCCGGTTTAGAGGTACATCCCCTATCTTCTCCTAAACCGCGGAGTACATCCCCATCTCCTCCTCTACACATAACGTATACAACACATTGGTTCTATATACAATCACTCAATACATATAGTTAATGTATTCTATCAACCGTCAAATTCCATGACACGTTCCATTGATTAGTTTCAGTTTGCCTAATCATCATGCATTGTCTACAACAATCACGACTATCCTCCACTGATAGCCCAAAGCAGTTATTTCTAAACAGAAAATAAATGCACAATGGATACTCAATCAACATTTCATTTTCCGCATTCTTCTCAATTAATTATCCCAATTAATTAAACAATGTAATTAGGTCAATTCCCATAATTAACATTTCAACCCTTAGGTCCCATTTTCATCAATGATTTAACATTCATTCCATTTCTCTTATGCCAAACATGCATTAGGTTTATTATGAATAAAACCCCAACTTTTGTAAAATTACACATAAGCCCCAAACTTTCACAAAATTACCAAACCAACCCCAACATCTCAAAATACCAAAATTTAAAGACAAACTCATAGAGAGGAGTAGGATATCCCTACCTCGAAGTTTGAGCCAAAAAGGAGATGAAGACTCGAAGACCAACGTGCTCCAAATCCAAACTTTTTCAGATTAAACAAAGCTCTCAACGCCCTCTATCTTTTTAACAAAGGCCCTAGGTTAGATTCACACTCTAGGGAGATCAATTCTTAGAGAGAATGTAAATGTAGAGAGAGAGGGTCTCGGATCTAGGGTTGATCAAAAGAAAAGGTGAAAAAGTGATGTTTAAAATGCTACTGTCCGCTGATATAAAACACGCTCGCTCGAGCGAAGCCTTCGTCGCTCGAGCGGCCAGACACAGAAAACTCTCGCTCGAGCCAAGAAGCTCTTGCTCGAGCCAAAAACTCAAAAGTGCGCTCGAGCGAAAGAATGCTCGCTCGAGCCAACAACTCGAACCCTCAGGTCTGCAACCGCAAGCACGCTCGAGCGACAGACCGCTCGCTCGAGCGAAAAAACAACTAGACCGCTCGAGCCAAGAAAAGCTCGCTCGAGCCAAGAAACACAACTCTCAGGTCCAGAACCAGGTGCAAGCGCTCGCTTGAGCGAAGCCACTCTGGCTCGACCCACCAGACACAACTCAACTTCGCTCGATGCGACCAACTCTCGCTCGAGCGAAGGACCAAAAATCTGGGCAGCAACACTAGGCTCCCAAACACAACCAACCTGAAACAAACCTGCCCAACACATCCTATAACTCAATATACAAAGTAGAGAGGATGCAAACTAGATAATAAACAACTACCAACATCCACGGACACATGTCCGGATTCAACAAGGGTAAACCCGGGATCGCTATATGGCATATCTCTACCATTATCCAAAATTCCTTGAAATACAAAAGTTCCCGCCACCTCCCCCCCCCTCCAAAAAGAGAAATTATATCAACTTAGCAGTACGAAGCGGAGAACACATATAAGCTGTAACGCCCCAAATTTCTAGTGCAAATGATAATACAACAATCATGGCTCTTTCAAGAAAAACTGAATATAAATCTCCAAACTTACATTACATGATAAAATAGTTCTTCATGCAACAATACATTAATCCAACAAGTAAATAAATAAATAAATACCCCCAAGAGTTCACAAGTTTCCAAGGCTTGAGCCCGGTTACACAAAACGGTTATTCAAACCCATAAAGCCCAGTAAGAAATCATTAACAAAGTATATACATTTTATACAAGTCTCAAGAGATGAAATGCACATGCCATGCTATGCCCTTTTTGAAGATAAATCACATTTTCATCTTTTGAAAACCACCATGCTCAATGATGTCATGCAATTTCAATTATTTAAAACTTAACAATTTATTTCAAGGGCAGTAAATAAGACTCTGGTAATCCCTAGGTTGGTGTCTGCAAGAAGACTATACAAGTACTACCAATTTGTCATTTTTACCAGCATTGACTGGAAGAATTGACACCTATAATCTGTCATTTTTACCAGTATAAACTGGAAGGCTCGACACCTATTCAATTTCATCTATACCACCTGTCAAGACTTACCACCGTATTTACCAAAAATCCAATTCATGAAAACTTGTTTCTCAACATTCTTTTCTCAATACAAATTTTCAAATCAACTTTCAAAGTTTAATGTAATCCAATGAATCGATATGCTAATAACACAAGATGAATATAAATACTTTTATTCCAATTCATCATCCAAGAAATAACACAATTCCCTCTTCTCAAGTATCCTCAATAATTAGTCATTTCAAGACTATTTCAACATTTTGAACAATAATTTCCAAAATGAACAACAATTCTCATATTCCCTGAAATTCATCATTTATATAAATATAAATAAGAAATTTTCCAAACATCCATTTATTTTGACACACAAAACCAATATAACAATATCATTCATGGATTTTCAGCCTCTTTATACAACTCAAATCTTTTGAAAGAAAACTTTTCAAAATCATCTTTTCTTCAATCAACGAAGATCAATACCCATAAGATCATTTTAAAAGAACAAGAGAAAAACCCACTTTCAAAATCGCTCAACATCTTGAATTAACAATCAATTTTCAAAGCTATCGAAGGATGATTTCGAAAATCATCTAGATCTTGCAAAAATATATATATAACTTTAAGAAAATCCCTACCTCAAGTTTTAAAGAAGAAATGAGATGAAACCCCCAAAATCAACGATGTCAAAACTCAATCTTCACCACACACAACGAAGCCCTCGAGATGATAACCAACTTTGGTGAAGAACTTAGGTCTAAATCCCAAAGGATTTGGAGAAATCAAATAGAGAAAATGACTCCTAGAGAGAGAAGCTCCCGATCTAGAATTCTGAAGAGTTTTAGAGAGGGAGAGAGGACTGAAAAAGTGATCTGAAATATCATATTCACGAACTGATATAACATGGTCCGCTCGAGCGTGAAAAGCCCCGCTTGAGCGTTAAATACACTAACCCAGTACTTTTGCAGACAAGTCAAACTTCTGCTTGAGCAGACAAGCAACTTCGAATGCATTTTGCATTTTGCATTTTTGCTTCGGGGGCGCTGACCTCGGACCCTCCAAGGGGCGCTGCCCCCTGGACTCCCACGAGCTGACCGGGTAGCTCGATCCCCGACCGGCCCAGTCGAAGTGGCAAAACATGAAAAAAGGATTGAAACCGGGATCGCTACATATGCATACATCATTTATCACATATATATATATACATATATGCATACAAAGGGGAGAACACATCATTTATTTGTTAATTTCTATAAGTTGAACCCATAAGTGGTGGTTGTAAGAGCAATGTTTTGTGTATTTTCGTCACTAAACACGTATTTAATGTCAACATATATAACCTCTTTGTCTCTGCTGAGAGAGCAGCAACAAACTGTCAGGTTTGCTTCCAGACACCTTGATAGGATTTCCACATCAATGCAACATGCTTCATCTGAAATAAAAAAATTAAAAAATTGAAAAATAAATAAATAAACAACTTAAAAAGACAATCAATGGATTCAACAGCATAAAATCAAAGCGGTATTCAGAATTCCTTTTTTTTTGTTTTTTTCCTTTTTGGGGACAAATAGTAGGTAGTCAGAAACTTATGAGTTGTTTCCTACCCAGTACAAACTTTTTATGTTGATTCTGTGTCTACACATGATTCTAACTATATTTTTTAACAAAAAAGGGAAATGATAATAATAATAATTGTGAGTATTTTTTTAACAAAAAGTGATAAAGAATGATAACAACAATGATGGAAAGGCTTTCACTATTTGAACTAGCTCCAGTCTGTAACTTTTTTAAGAAATCCATCTCTCTTTTCTTTTCACTCTGCATTACCCGTTGCAACTTTGCAAATATTCCAATGCTGCGGAATTTGGCAGCATAAAAGAATACATGGTTTAGTATAAGAACTTGTGCATCTGTTTCTGAATTTTATGTTTGTTTCATGAACTTTTCTTCTTATTTCCTGAAGTTCATACAATTAAATATCAGTTTTTAGGACAACTGTATATTATTCAAAATTAGATGTCCCTCCTCACTTGATAAATATTATATTACAAATATCAACAGACATCACCAATGCAATTCTATTGCACCACAGAACACTCAAAAACTAAAACATGACAACAAAAAAAAAAAAATAATTAAATTCGAATGCAGAAGTGAAATCAAACAACTTACAGCCTTGAGATCGCATGTGAGACAGAACAAGATTCATATCATTAGTAGAGAAGCTTGAACTTTACTATGAAAAAATAAAAACAAGATTCAGATCATTAGAAGAGAAGCCACAAAAAATTTGAAGTAATTTGAGAGAGAGGGAGAGAGAGAGAGAGACGGTGGAGCTCACCTTAGTGAAATCGAAATCGCCGGTGCAAATTGTGGTGGCGATGGAGCTTCACAATTGCTCTGAATCTCTGAATCACGGGATCTCTGAATCTCTGCAAATAAGGATCAAGTAAGAATGCCTTAAAACATTGATTTCATAGATCTAGAGAGAGAGAGACGGTGGAGCTCGCTACCTCGTCGGTGCAGATTGTGGTGGCGATGGAGCTTCACAATTACTCTGAATCTCTGAATCATGGGATCTCTGAATCCCTGCAAATAAAGATCAAGTAAGAATGCCTTAAAACATTGATTTCATAGACCTAGAGAGAGAGAGAGAGAGACAGTAGAGCTTGCTATCTCGTTGGTGCAGATGGTGGTGGTGATAGAGCTTCGAAATTGCTCTGAGAATGATTAGGGTTGAGAGAGAGAGAGATGTGCGTATAAGGGTTGTGAGAGAAAGAGAGATCTAGAGAGACTAGATTCAAAATAAGGGTTTCAAAAAGAAGGATAGAGGAAGCGCATGAGTCCTACCGCATTTGGAGGCGTTTTTAAACGCCTTTAATTATAAAACGATGTCGTTTTAATTAAAGAAATATGCAACGATTATAAAATGCCACTAAAAATTAATAAAAGTGACATTTAAAAAAGCACTATTAAAAAAACACCATTAAACCCCATTTTTCCTGTAGTGAAATTAGATTACAAAATCTTATAATGTTTTTAATTGTACTTTTAATTATATCTATAGAGAGAGAGATAGATATAAATAAAATAAAATAAAATAATAATAAAGAAAGCAAGCCCACATGGGAGCCTACCTTCATTCCATCAAGCTTTATTCATTTATTTTCTTTCTTTTGAACCACAGAAACTTAGCACTGTCTCTCTCGGCTCAGTTCTCTCTCTTTCTGTGGCAATTTTTTTGGGATAAATTAGAGCGATAGTCCTTATAGTCTACTTTTGTTTTATTTTTGTTTATATTGTTTTAATTTAATCAATTTTACGAATTGTGTCTGTAGCGATCCCAATTTTGACCCAGTCAGCTTACGGGGGTCGAGCTGCCTGGTCAGCTCACCGAAGCAAAACTGCAAAATGCATTCGGAGTTACTTGTCCACTCAAGCGGCCGTTTATGCGCACGAGCGGAGAATGTTTGGTTCCAGAAGTTTGACTTGTTTACAAAAAGTACTGGGAAAGTGTATTCGACGCTCGAGCGGGGCTTTCCACGCTTGAGCGGACCATGTTATATCAGTTCGTGAATCTGATATTTAGATCACTTTTGTATATCTCTCTCTTTCTAAAAACCCTTTCCTCCCCATTCTCTCTACATTTCTCTACACAAACTAGATCAAAAATCTTGATTTCTCAAGATCTATTTGAGTTTTGCCATTGCTTCTTCATCAAAGTGGGTTTTCATCTCAAGGGCTTCATTGTGTGCGGTGAAGATCGAGTTTAGGCATCGTTGATTTTGGGGGTTTCATCTCATTTCTTCTTCAAAACTTGAGGTAGAAATTTTCTTAAAGTTATATATATATTTTTGCAAGATCTATACGATTTTCAAAATCATCTTTCGATAACTTTGAAAATTGATTGTTGATTCAAGAAGTTGAGTGATTTTGAAAGTGGGTTTGTCTCTTG